GCCAAGCGCAAGACGGTCACTGCCATGGATGTGGTGTACGCTCTGAAACGCCAGGGCCGCACTCTCTATGGGTTCGGCGGCTGAGCAAATCGACCCTTTTCCAGCGAACCAAAAGGCTCTTTTCAGAGCCACCCAAACCCTCCAAGTGAGAGCGGAGACCTGAGCACAGGAAAGGCAGCACATAGAGAGGGTGTAGTGTACCGCAGCTGGTTATAATTCTGCCCTGATGCGAAATGTCACAGATTGCAGTATTTCTATTTCATTCCTTCCAGGAATGATATTCAGTTCAGTTTTCATTCAGGGAAGCCTGCAGATGTTTTAATGGCCTGTTGTTACACTCTGTCTGTTACAGTTTTCGGACTAATTCTAACTGGGTGAAAGAAAAATGAGCCGATAAATTGAGATTGTGTAACTTTTTTAGCGTACACTATTAGCTTTGAAGATGCTTCAATCGGCGGTGTTATTTAGATTCATTAACGGAGGTGACACGGCCGGTTGATTAGTTTGAGATAACAAGATGTGGAGCTGGATGAACACAGCAGTCCAAGCAGCATCAGAGGAGCAGGAAGGCTGACGTTTCGGGCTTAGACCCTTCTTCAGAAGTCTGGGCTGTGTTAAAACACCGCGCTTTCCTCCTACCTGTTACGGGCAGATCAGGCAATGATCCCGCGTCCTATCCGCGTTAACTGCAAGTTAGGTTTAAAAAGAAATCCCACAAAGTACAGATTTTATCGTCGTTGGACTTTGTTTTGCATTTAAATATTTGACTTAATTTCAGGATTGCGAGGTAAAATCGGCGGGCTTTTTGAAATTGACAAACTGTCATTTGAAGTTAACCAATCAGACTCCAACAACTATTTTATTGCCTTTTCTGTACCTTCCGCAGCTGTTTCTCAGTGGGTTGAGGGACGGGACTGTATCCAATCCCAGCTCTAAGGCGGGTTCTTCAATTCCCTTAAATAGGCAGCACCGCCGCAGACTCAGCATTGATAGCAGCAACGTGTACGTGTGTTGCAGAGAATGGCCAGAACCAAACAGACAGCGCGTAAATCCACCGGAGGGAAAGCTCCACGCAAGCAGCTGGCGACCAAAGCTGCCCGCAAGAGTGCTCCGGCAACGGGCGGAGTGAAGAAGCCTCATCGTTACAGACCCGGCACGGTAGCTTTGCGGGAGATCCGCCGCTACCAGAAATCGACCGAGCTGCTGATCCGCAAACTGCCCTTCCAGCGCTTGGTGCGGGAGATCGCTCAGGACTTCAAGACCGACCTGCGGTTCCAGAGCTCGGCCGTGATGGCCTTGCAGGAAGCAAGCGAGGCTTACTTGGTGGGGCTGTTTGAGGACACCAACCTGTGTGCCATCCACGCCAAGCGAGTCACCATCATGCCCAAAGACATCCAGCTGGCCCGCCGGATCCGCGGGGAGCGCGCTTAAACAGAGCGTACCTGGCCCTGCACGTTAACCCCGAGAAACCCAACGGCTCTTTTCAGAGCCACTAAACTATCCAAAAAGAACGGAACTGACGCATGATGTGCGTTTCGTTGTTATATTTCCATATCTTACCGTTATTGCACCGGGCTAATTCAGTTGTAATTGCAGGAACTGCATCTGGCTGAAAAAAAACACAAGTGCGTAGGACTAATACATTTGTGTTATTTAAATTAAAACTCAAGAAGCGTATTTTAATTATAAATTGAGGTTTAAATTAGTCACAAAATAATTGAAGTCCAGCATCCCTGTCTGCAAATTAGAAATTCACGACAAAACCTCTGTGCTTTTTGCTTCCCTTGGCCTTTCCTCCAGCTCTACTTTCAGCCTCCTATTTGTTTACCTTGGATTCCAGCATCTGCTGTTTATTTTTGTCTGATAACTGTGACCATGGCTGAGAAGGAGGGCGGGGAAAATGGCACCAAATCGTTAAACGCTTTCTTACAAATTTGAAAATCCCGCCAATATGTAGAAACCAGGAGGCTGTTTTACACAGAAGAATGCAAGTGTACTTAACGAGTTGATTTGATTTTCAGATTACAAAATCTGTACTTCACACAATTTGGTTCCTCTTTCCACAAGAGGCTTCTCTCTCTCTCTCTCTCTCGCTACTGTGTTGCTTTAAATGATTTTATTTTAGAATCTCCTCGGATTATTCTTACCGCTATCTCATATCCCCTCTTTGCCCTCCGGATCTCCCTCTTCAGAATGCACCTACTCTTTTTATACTGCTCAAGAGATTCAGTTCAACCTCATTTTCAATATCTAATATCTTTTTTTTTTCTATTCTCAACGTCGAACCTTAATCATCTAATTCAACCATTGCTCATTAATCCAACTTTGGTAGATGTTCTTCGAAACGTTTGTTCAGATTCGATCAATCAAACGGTCTCTTTCTGCTGTGTTTGGATTCCATGAACGTGCTTCCTGATCGATGTATTGATAGGGACACCGTCTTTTCATTAGTTTTAAAGTCTCTCTCCCTTATTCCAGCTTACACTTTACTGCTGTAACTATTGAAGATATTTCTTAACAGTTGTCCAGTGAAAATATGTGGGTTGAAATTAGAAAAAGGAAAGGAATGATCACCTTGCTGAGATTGTATTAATAGGCCCCAGAATAGTCAGATGGACATTGACGAACATATATGTAGAGACATCTCAGACCTAAGTAAGGATAATAATGTTGTAATAGATTATTTTAATTTTCCAAAGGTTGAGTGGGACGACACGAGTGTCAAAGGTTTGAATAGTGAAGAACTTGCAAACTGTGTTCAAGAAAGTTTTCTTTTAACATGTAAATATTCTTGGTAGAGACAGGGAAAAAAAAAACGTTTTCTTCAGTAATAGGGCAGGGCCAGTGATTGATGTGATAGTGCAGGAACACTTTGGGTCTATGATGGTAATTTTATTAGCTTTAAACTAGTTATGAAAAAGATAATACTTACTTGGAAGTCAAAATTTTTAATTGAAGTAAGGCAAATATTAATGGTATGAGACAACAACTTTCAAAAGTCATACAATAGAATCCCTGTAGTGTGGAAACAGCAATTTGGCCCAACAGGTCCACACCGTCCTCCAAGACCATCCCACTCAGACCCATTCCCCTATCTAACCCACCTAACCTAAGTATCCCTGGGCACAATGGGCAATTTTAGCTTGGCCAATCCACCGACCCTGCACATCTTTGGACCGTGGGAGGAAACCAGAGCACCTGGAGGAAACCCACGCAGACATGGGGAGAATGTGCAAACTCTCTCGCAGTCGCCCAAAGCTGGAATCGCACCCGGGTCCCTGGCGCTCTGAAGTGCTAACCACTGTGCCACCCATTGGTAGTAGAGTGTTCACAGGTAAGGGGATGTCTGATAAGTGGTAGGCATTCACAAGTGTCATATGAAAGTTCAGAGTTAATATGATCGTCTTTGAGTAAAAGGTAAGCTGGCAGGATAAAGGAACAATGGATTAATAAAGATATTGAGGTTCTCGTTGGGAATACAAAAGAAATCGTATTAGATAGAGACAACTGGGTTCAAATGAGTGTAGAGACAGGAGGAAAAAAAATGACCTTTTCATCGGTAATACGGCAGGGCTAGTTACTGATGTGAAAGTGAGAGAGCACTATGGAGTGTAGGGGCATTCTGAAGAGATCAGGAAAGCAACGAGGGGATTCAAGATAGCTTTGGTGTTAAAGTTTAGGATAATCCAAAGAGATTCCGTAAGATCATTAAAAGCAAGCGAGTGATTAGAGAGAAAGAGTCGAGCTCTTAATACAAAGGTTACCTATTTGAGTTTTGAAACTCGGAAGACAGGAGGAATAGAAAACAAATATTTCACAAATAAAATTGTTGGGGGAGAGAAATAGAAGCTGCAGAACTTGGGAAATAAATATTGATATTTTGAAAACAGTTCATATTACACAAGAGGACACGTTGGAGGTCTTAGAAAGCATAGAGTTGAATAAATGTCCAGCATCTGATATACTGTATTGAGAATATTGTAGGAAGTTAAGAAGGAAATTGCAGAAACCCTTGCAGTAATGTTTGTACCATCTATAACTATAGTGAGGTGCGGCTAATGTGCCTTTATTTTCAAGAAGGGATGCAGGGAGAAGCTTACTAAGTATAGGCCTGTGAGTCTGAATTATGTGATGGGTACATTGTTGGAAGTGATTCCAAAAGATACGATTCATATGTATGGGGTAGGTGGGGGTTTTCAGAGAATGGTTAGGGATAGTCAGCATGGTTTTGACTAGTGCTTTTACTGAAGCACTATATCAGGTTCTGGTCACCCTGTTAGGGAAGGATATTATTGCACTGGAGGAGCTTCAGAAAAGATTTACCAGGATGTTGAGATAACACAATGTGGAGCTCGAGGAACACAACAGGCCAGGCAGCAGAGAAGCAGGAAAGTTGACTTTTTCAGACAAAGGGTCCTGACCCGAAAAGTCAACTTTTCTGCTGCCTGGCCTACTGTGCTCCACCAGCTCCACACTGTTATCTCGTACTTACTACTTGATGCATTGGGTCATTTTAGTTCTTCTCAAATGCGGTTACAGAAAATACGAAACTGGTTGTGAACGAGGCACAGATGCATTTATATGACGATGATTAAAGTCACAGGCAGTTACAGACCAATAACAAATAATGCAATCCGAACGCTATTACAATAGCGATTCATTATAAATTCGTGATAAACGTTTCACTCTCCATGCGTTTCAGCTGTTCCGTGAACGTGACTGACTGCAGCTTGTTAGTAAAGATTTCATGTTAGATCATACACAGTGACAGTAAGAGTATCAAATAACAAAGCGACTGAAACGGACATCAAACAATGAATGCAGAAAAAGACATTCCGACAGAGGGGATGGTCTAGCTGCTTTTCACTGATGTTGTGGGTGGCTCTTAAAAGAGCCTTTGGGTTGTCAGACGAAATAACGGTCTCTTCACTTTTTAGTGGCGCCCCCAGCGGCGGTTTTCTTGGGCAGCAGCACGGCCTGGATATTAGGTAGCACCCCACCCTGAGCGATGGTCACCCCTCCCAGCAACTTGTTGAGCTCCTCGTCGTTGCGCACGGCCAGCTGGAGGTGCCTGG